GGCGAAATATCTCACCAGCAAGGCCCCTGTCTGGGCAGCTTTGGGGTCTTCTTCCCTTGGTCCACGGGCGATCATAAAGCCTCGGCCTTTTGACTTACTCGAAGCCAGCCGCCACACAGCCGGATGACGAATCAGAAGTCGTCAAGGCCCAGGAGTCGCAATGCAACTCTTTGTTATTCTCAGGTCCGGCCCGCTGGCTACTTCGCCCCTCCGCTCACCAGCAGAGTACCAAGGGGCGAAATAGCTGTGGGAGGTACGACTAATAGTCAGATTTAGTGAGAAGTTACTCCGTATAAGAGGCAAGAAAGAGAAAAAGTTTTTTCCTTCAGCTTCCTTGTCATGCATACAAAAGCACCGACTCGTATTCTTATTAGAAGCCTCATGAGCGTGTGAGATTTTACCAAAGTTTGTCGCATTCTCCATGAAGGAAGAGTTGGCAGCTCTCCTTGCATGCACGGCTTTGATGGCGTCCCCCAAGGCTGAGAGAAGCCATTGCCGCGGATAAGTCAATGTACGAAGTACGGAGTAGCCATGAGAGGAGCCACACACGGCCCCGTTCCGTCACCCTGCTCTCCCGTCAAGCATCAATGTCCAATCTTTGGCTGCAAGATGAGAGGAGCAGAGTGTGCAGGGATAGTGACAGATTTTTTTCCCTCTCTGCTTGTCTCCCGCCCCAGGCCCACCACCTCCGGATGCCCGCCCATGCGGCAGCGGCAAAGGTCAGACGGGAACTCCAGAAAAGCAACAAAATAAAGAACATGTGAGAAAGTATCGAGAAGCCAGCAAAAAAAGAAAAATGAAAAAGGAGAAATGAAACCTTCAAAGGTCTCGACTCTTTGATCAGCGGCTAACAATGTCCACTTGTTTCTCTTCGTACCAATGTCCATCCTCTTTCACGCCATGTGGCAGGTCAATCGACAAACTTCTCTCCCTCAAACAACCACCAACAAGAGAACCCCAATTCCGATCTCAGTGGAGGCGTTTACTACTACTACTACTACTACTACTACTACTACTACTACTACTACCGGTCCGATCTCGAGTTGGTGTACTCAGATTTGGTCCTGTCTTGTCTCTGGCTTCAATAGTTGATTATCTAGCGGTGTAAGTACTCTGTATATGTCTCGAGAAAGTAGCACTGTCCTGCTCCTCACATCAACGACACAGCTCGCACATGATACTGTAGTAGTTGGTAGCCGCTGGTCTCTTATCTTGCGACAGCTGTGGCTCTCGCAAGGGCTTACTGGTGCTACAGCACACACGATACCTATTATTACTCGTACAAGTCTAGTATCCAAGGCTTGCCAAGGTGGTATCACGGTGGGTTTTGGGAATTTTTCTCTCTGCAGCAGCTTTGCTTGTTTTCACATCAGGCAGGGCGACGACCGACGACCGACGACAAGGATGCTGTTCCGTGGCAGGGCAGCTGACCTTGACTCCATCCATTCCTGGGCGAGCACGAAATCGCGGCGAACAAGTGCCAAAAAAATCTCACCTGGGCATGGGACTTTGGGCAGCAGTGGAAATGCAACTCAAAATGAACCCTGAGGGCTTGTTAGCTCCTAGATAGGGCGCCCTGACCGAAGCACCGGGCCGTAGTACTACTACTACTACTACTAACGGGCGGAACATGACCTTGGGAGGTTTCGGGCCAATTTCCAGACTGCATTCTTTGTGAAGCTCTCGCGTACCTGTTTTGTTGTGATGCTCTCCTCTCCAGGCTATAGTTGTCCTCGGCTAGTAGTAGTAGGTAAGCAGGGAGATAATCTCTCTGCTACCTGACTGCTAGAAAGTTTCTCGTCCAGCGGTGAAACGATGCAGATCGCCAATCGCACTCGCAGCTAGCGAGCCGAGAAGCTGGCGTGCATACAGGTCGCCATGGCGTCTCTCGGACGGTACATGTACAAGCCGTGGCAGGGCAAGCAGGCAGCATTTGCGAGTCAACGGCCCCCCTGTCTGGATGGAGTGGGCGGCGGAATCCCAAAACTCCACAACGGTGGGACGAGATTGGACGAAATGCTCATGGCAGTAGGCCTTCTGTGCGCTTACACGGAGGGCTGTGATATCTGCGGTGATTCGTGCGAAGAGCTATATATGTATGAATCGGACATCAAAGGGCAGTCCAGCATGTCCATCACGAGGACTCCTGCTGCATACAGGTGAATGAAAGAGGTAGGTCAAGGCATGGGAAAGCCCTGTAGTACTACCCGATTCCCTACCTATCGGACAAGGGCCAGATACTACAGACGAGACATACACAACCGCCGTCTTTGTCTGTGCCAACCATGGGGCCGATGGGGGAAACGCTGTGGTCTGGTTGCATCGATTCGAGCCGGTGGCTTTCCCAAGTCGTGCTCGCACCTCATCGGCTCGGGTATGAAGCAATTGCATTGCATGCCTGCGTGTGCAACCCGCGGGCGGCTGCACTGTGCCTTGCCAGCCTCTGGAACAGGAAAACCGTGATTGAGAGAGTTTGCAATTTGCGCAGAGGGGAATTGTGAGCGTGAGCGTGAGGTGACATGACCATGGCGACAGACGTCGTCCATGCTCGTGCAGTTTCAGAATTGGTGACGGGACGGTGACGAGGTTCGCAGCTCCGCGTCCACGGCTGGACGCTTGAATATGCAGCTGCAATATGGAGGAGCTGGTCATATGGCAGCTTCTGGCTCAATAGATTCATGTACTTCATACCTCCCGTGCATGCGTTGGTGCAACATCCAGACCGAAGCTGCTCGTACTTGATGGGTGCCTCCAAATTATAGCCAGGGCCCGGGTCAGAGCCGCGAGATTGGTCGCCGCACCGGAACGAAGATACAAGACGGCACAGCGCCCAGTCGCATTGCGAGCAGGTACACCCACAGAGGCTCGAGCAGTGCCGCTGCGGTTGGGCTGGGTCTGAATCGATACAACATGCCGATGCGCGCGTGGGCCCAAGGATCAGGTCGTGGTGTGGTAGTATGTAGGGATGGACGATGTGGCAGCAGCAGTCGCAGTCTTTGAAGGTATCACTGCTAAGGCGGGCTTAGCAGCATTGTTTGCAGCATCAATTGGCTGTTGGTGAACATGCCGTGGCTGGCATGATTGCGGTCTGAAGTTGGCAAATGCGTGCCTTTCTGTATCGGATGCCTCGAGCTCTGCTTCGCTTGCTCGCCGGATGAATCCAATCCCTTCTCGCGTACGGCAGAGGTAAGGTATTCCCCGTCACCACAGTACCTGGCGCCGCATACCTCGCAGCGCCCAGGGCGCCGTATCCGTGACTTTGCCAGAACCAGCAGCACGCCACCTTCTCACCTCGTGCTGCCCGCGCTGGTGCAACGAGGAAAGAGGACTCGACGCTTGCCCGCCATGTCCGTCCCAGCGGCGGTACCTGTACATGGCCGTGTCGTGGCTTTGGGGTGGAGGCCCTGCCCTTCTGGAACTCGTGCTAGTGGCCCGCGCAAGAGCCATCCGGATTCCGTGAACAGCGCTGGAGGGAAGCCAAGGGCTCAGAGGGCCTAGCGCTGGGCTACCGTGGTGTGCTAGAACAGGCACAGTGCCGGCGTGAGGGTGCTGGTACTTCGCACTTGCACGCACGCTGTACCTTGTACTCCACCCGCCGCAGCGGCGAATCCGCACAAGAGGCGAAAACAGGGCAGCGGGACAGAGGAGAAAAAAAAAGTTTGGGCTAAGGCAGCGCGTGCGTGTACTGTATGAATGCGCGGTGCCTGGAAGTGAGGGCAGGGCAAAAGATGAAAAGTGAGAAGAGGGAGCGAACAGACCAGGGTGACAGCCGTGCGTGTGCGTGGCTCGGCAGTCGTACCGCATACGTGGGCATCGCAGCTTGTCTCTGGCCGCGGCCGGGTAGCGAGTACTCGGACAATGAGTGAGTGCCCTTGCGGTGCTCACTTCAGTGTCTGGTACGAGTACCTCAACTGGAACCCTGCTGGTCTGTGCTCCTGCTGGTCTGGCTCTCCGGCTCTTCCCAAAGCTGCTCCCAATTGGCGACCCTCCAGCGCTGGAACCTGGGAGCGCTAGCGGCCTGTGCGCTAAAATGCCATCGCCAGCAACCATCTGGCCGGGCCTCCGTTTTTCTGCGAGGCCCGTCAACCACTTATTACGCCTCCGGCTCCCCAGCTGCGATCCGCTCTGTCGCCGTCAGGTCTACTTTTCCTCGTCCAGATTTTCTTGCACTGTTCGTCCCCGATTGTGTTAGACCGGATCGGTTGCAACGAGTGTCTGCCCTCTGGCTCTCAGTTCTTATCTCGACGCTGACTCTGACCTGGACCCTTTCTCTCCTCCGCCCTCTTCTCGCTCACTTGCTCGATATCTTGCTCCTCCCTTTCTCCTCCTCTCTTAGGCTCTGGTCCCCTGCATCTGATCCCTCTCGCCGTCCTCTGTCCTGAGCCGAACTCTCGTTTCACCACTGCGGCTGCTACCCTCGCTCCACCCCGGACTCGCTGGCCACCTCCAATTTCACCAGCTCCAGAACGCTACGCCGGAACCCACAGCCGTTCGGCATCGCCATCTCCTGTCATCAAGTCACCTGGTCCAACAATTTGCCGGCACTGCCCTTTGGACGCCGTCTCGTGCATTTGGGAATCGAGTCTCCTCTTCTTCTTTTCTTCTTCTCGTCTTCTTCCATCCTCAATCGCTCTCGCCAGGCCCTGCCAGTTTCCTCCCTGGTCCGTGATCGGTAGCCCGTCTCTCCCGCGTGTACTTTGCCAGGAACAGAAACCGAGACTTCGTCTTATTTTTTTTGTTTTGTGTGGGTGCGCAGGTGACCTGAAAATCGGCTGCCACTACCGACCGAACCTGCAGCGCTGACGGCATCGTCCTCGCCCTCTCATTCGCCCACGCTCAGACACTTACACCACGCAATCCGGGCCCCGTCTCTCAACAAACAGCCGCCCGTGGCTGCTCAAGCAGGCTGCTGCTTCTCATGACTGTGTGATCTTGCAAGAGAAGGCTCTTGTGTTGTCGAGCCGCGCACGCACGTCGTTTCATTGTCTACAGACTTCACCATGACAGCCGTCCTCTCCAGCGACGACAGTTACTTCTCTGCTCCGATGCGGCGCTCTCACTCCCAGTCCAACCTGGGCAGCGGCTCATTGTCATCATATCACCACATGGCCGACCTGTCAAATCCATACGCTCATCCTCCTAACAAGTCCTTTTCCGACTCCGACCACTCCTCAGCGCCTTCGTCTCCTCGCACCGCCCACATCGAATCGGCAGACGTCTCTTACACATCTACTCCCTCCAGCAACCTCTCCGTTGCCTCCGATTTCGAGGAGACTCTGTCTATAGACGAGGCTCCCGAGGACCACTTCGGCCTGCCGCCCTTCACGGCCGACAAGCTCTACTTGCACCCGCAGATTCGCCCAGATGACAACCTGGAGCCTCCGCCGAGTCCTCGCACCGGGGACTCCTACAACGTCTCGCCTGTCGAACACACTAGCTCCGTCAGCACCTCACGGCCAGACAGCCCCCATCTCAGCGACCATGCTGAAGATGACACGGCTATTGCGACCAAGCCGTCCCGCCAAGTCGACTACCTGTCCCACGATTGGAGGGAAGAGGACATTTGGTCATCGTGGAGGTATATAATATCAAAAAGAGGAGAATTCCCCAACAGTGCCAGGCTGGAGAATGCTTCTTGGAGAACATGGATGAAGGCCAAGAACAACCTGAAGACGATATCTCCCGAGACACTTAACTGGTATGTTTCCTCCGTGGTGTCACTACTTCCGATTGCTATTTGCATATATGCTAATATTATCCTAGGCTAAAGGACTACGACGTTACTTGGCTCTACGGCCCTCTCCAGTCTGGAAAGCGCAACATGTCTGCTAACAAGACAGGCCCGTCCAGCGTGTCATTATCAAAATCAAGCTCTCTAGTCAACCTGAACAAGAAGACCATTCTCAAGAAGAGGAGCATGTCGGAAATCATGCTCCAGAGGTCGCTGTCGAGTGCATCTCTTCTCAAGCAGGCCGCCGCCGCCGTTCACGCTCAGGAGTACCGGAAAAGCGCAATGCGGCCTGGCCTCGGGCGGGCACACACAGATTACGTCTCGCTTTCCTTCTCCTCCAGGCGCATGAGCCACGAAAACAGCAGCGCCTTCGCTACGTCTACAGAATCTTCGAGCATTACGTCACCTTGTCCCGAGCGCAAGCATATTCACTTTAACGAACAGGTGGAACAGTGCATCGCCGTCGACGTCAAGGGCGAAGATGATGACGATGTCGACGTGGACATGGATGTCTTTGGTGACGAGAGCGACTCCGACGATGGGGTCATGATGAAGCGGGTCAGGTCAAAACGACGCCCATTGATCAAGCAGCGCGCGCAAAAGAAGTCATATACTGCCGAGGGCAAGATCATCGCCATGCTCCCGTCTACAACGCTCAAATACCAGGAAGACAGCCCGGATTCGCGTGATTCGGCCATGAAGCACAGCACTGGCGCCCGCAGCCCCCTTCTATCCCCATCATCCTCTCAGGAGACGCTTCGCCCTTCCAAGCCGTCCGGTGGCTTTTTCTTTGACGAAGACGAGGACGATCTCGATGCAGCGATTCAGGCCCCCAGCGTTGGCTGGCTCTCCCCACCGAAGGACACTGGTGCTGGCGGATTGCACAGATCAACATCGTCAAACAGTCTCCTTGAGGAACCGGCGGGCATGCGTCGAACGCCGTCGGGCATGTTCATGCCATGCGATGAACCCGAGACGTCATCCAGCAGCGAGGGCATCTTCGGCCGGGTCATCGATACCGTCAACACCGCCCGCGACATTGCCCATGTCATTTGGAACGTCGGGTGGCGAAAATAATCGGACAGCGATCCTCACCGACGATGTAATTGGCCGTTGGCCGACGTCGATGATGCCACGAGCAGCGCAGCGATCCGAGCGCTTGGCTGGATTCTGCGCGCCCAATGCCATCAGGGCCAGGCAAACAACCGTTTCCACCTCCGGGCGCCGTCGAGCGACCGCAGATCCGGGGTACCTGTGTCGCATTCCGGTGATATGCGTCCCTGCCTTCGATTTCATTCACCATTACCTAATTCCCTGGATCCAATTGAGCCCCGAGTGGGACGCGGAATCCCTTTTTGTTGGGGCCGGTCACGACGACTAAGCCGTTGGCGCTGCCAGCCCGGCGTCATCGGGAGGCGAAAGCACGACGAAGGCCGCAATGGCAATCTTGTCACTGTGGGCTCGGGAACGTCACGAGATACCTTTTGTGGTGGTCGGGTGACTTCATCTCTGGCCGCCTAATTTTCTTTTACTAGCTCTTCCTTTTTTCCTTCCCTTGGTTCGACGACTGAGGGCCAGGGTATCCCGGCTATACGACGGCTTATGACACTGTCTCTGTACTGTCCGTTTCATCTCCTTTACTGCATTTTCCGTCATATACCTAATCTGACGATTGCGAAGAGCTGCTCTTTTCATTTGTTTTTTCATACCATTGTCTCTCCTTTGTGTTTTTGGATCGCGCGGTTTATCAAAATACCTGGGCGGCTCAAGGGATCATTGTCTTCATTGTTAACTGGCGTTTGTCTGTGTGCACAAAAAACCTGTTACTCTTTTTCCTTTTTCTTCCTAATTGCCGCTAAAACTTGTTGTACGAGCGATGAGGAGGGGGACGATCTACTTGGTAAAGAATCTGGACAACATATGGCATGGAATTGGTTTTCTTTTCTTTCTCATGAGATGGGCAACAAAACGGGATGGATTCTGTGTTGGACAGTAGATGCATCGTTTGTACATAGGAATCCACAGGACACAAGCAAACGAAATAAAATACAAATCATTGTATAAAAAGACGTTGCATTACATGAATGATTGAGTGACGGGTGTTGGAGGCCTGATGTGTCAGGACAGTGCTTTCAGGGTCTGGACGGAGCATCTGTAAGGGTAAAGGTAGGTATGTTCTAGACTTGTCTGAGCCAAGGCTTTAACAGCAGTTGTATGAAGCTAATGAGAGGCCTCTACTTTACATCGTGACCTCAGCATTGAGCCCTCACGATTAGCAGTACGGCATGGATACCGAGTACAATTAAAGTACCTGTACCTTGAGGGTTGGTATTACTGTATGTATGCCCAAGCCCAGACAAACTGGAGAGGCTTGACAAATAAGTTGTTCGATGGAGCGGGTATCAAAGTCCGTTGGATTCATTAATATTATGCTTGATCTAACAGAAGTAGAGAGAGAGCGCGGTTAGGTGCAGGAGAGTTAGGTAGACAAACGTCATAATTAGGTTGTGAGGGACAACCCAAACAATCGACGGTTATCATTACGTTAGATGGCAGATGGCAGAGGGATTGCGGTAGAAGAATGCTTTGTACTGTTCCTTTTCTTTCTTTTAATCTGAGGTATTCTATAAGGTGTTGCGGCGGGTGGCCGCGTCATTCTACGCTATGTATAGCAGACTTTTCCTTTGATGCTATTCGTACAGAGATGGGTAAGGTAGGTAGGTGCAACAGAGAATGGGCAGAGGGGAGGTATGTGTGTGTATGGTATGGTACAGGAGAGGGTGTGTGTACATGTGCGGCTACGTATGACGCTCCGTACAAAGCCGAAGGATACAGGTGTTTGTACGATGCTTGCTACTATCAATATAGTCTCCTTGCAGCCAAGTCCGTAGTGACACCGAGGAGAAAGAAGCTTGCCAGCAAACAACTAAAACAGGGACGAGTACATGTACTCGTATGTAGGTTGTCGGAGAGTCAAGTTTGCCGCACGGGTGCCAGCGCCTGAATGCGGGAACAGCCAAAAACATCGTCGTCTCCAGGTTTTGCGTCCTTGGTTCCCAACAAAAGACCCTGGGAAAGGTGGAGCCCGGACCCCTCCCTCGTCAGATGCAGCCCAGAGTCTGGGGTAATTTGAATCCCTGTGCGGGGGAGAGAGAAGGCAATGCTACGACTTAGTACAAGTACTAGGTAGCAAGACAGGGCCAACCAGAGGCTTCCAGCGTGGCCTGTTTGTAAGGCCGACGGGGGAAAGGCTAAGGAAAAATAGGGGGTTGCATATGCACTTGTGCGGTGCATTGGGTTGAAGAGACGTCGCAGTCTGTTAACGGCTGGGCACCACGCAAGCTTTTGCTCGTCTCCACAGGTCAAGGACTGGTGAGAATGGTCGAGAAATGGTGTGCTGGGGCTATGCACTTGGCCAGCTTGCATCGTCGTCGCCGTTGTCTTCGGCGTCGTTCGGTCCAAAGGCAACCCCATCTGGGAGCTTGAGCCTGCATCCTCTGGTGGTGCGGGTTTCCGAATGGACACTCATGTCAAAGCCGGCATTGGTGAAGTTTCGCCGGCATTGGAGCCTAAATACTTCAGTGCCTTGACGAGGATCCGCCGAGAATGTACGTTGACATCTGCAATCTCGACTTCAAACTGGTCTCCGACCCGGACGTCCTTGATGAGCACCTTCTGGTTCAGGCCCTCAATGTCCATAATCGCATGCAGATCGAAGAAATCCACCTTGCCGATGCAGCCCTGTCGCCAACGAGAACCGACAGTAAACAGGAGCTTTTCGGGCGCCGTCTTCTCGAAGCGCCATGCGCGGACAAGGGCGATGAGGATCCACTCGAGGATGCCGCGAGAGACTGTTCGTGCCATCTTCTCGCGCACCTGTAGCAGTGGAAGCGTGGTCGCAAGCTGGCTGCTGGTGAAGGGAAGAATGGCATCCAAGTTGTCAGTGTCGGGGTCGATGGTCCGCTGAGTCTTCCGCTCGTGCTCCAAAGCAGCATGAATCTGCCAGTGGACCAGCAGGTCGGAGAAGCGGCGCAGAGGCGACGTAGCTTTGGCGTACATATCGAGGCCAAGGAGAAAGTACGGGCCAGGTTGGCTTGCTATCTCGATTCCACCAGTGTGTCGTATCAGTTCTTGCCGCTGGCTGCCGCTTGGTTCGATTCCTTTTTGAATTAAGGGGTAGATGTGCTTTGTTGCGTAGTCAAATGCCCCCTTCCCACCATGCCCGAACTTGACGTCCCTCCGATATGGAATCGGGATGCCGCGAGACGAACACCAGCGTGCCGCAATTTCACCGGCCAGAACCATTGTGTTGGAGACGACGGAGCAGCCAGTTGATGCCTCATAGCCAGCCTTGATGTATGGATCCGCAGGGAGGAAGCTGAACGTTTCTGTCGTGTCAAAGCTGGACGTGTCTGTTGTGTCAGGGGCATCACCTTGCTTCACGGAGACGGAGGGGCGCGGGAAGAAGTATGGCCATGCCCCCTTTGAGAGGCGCTTGCTCTTGAGGGCCTCGGCGAGCTGATATAGCACCAGTAAATCCTCTTTACTGGACGCATCTAGATCCTCGGCCGCAGTCATTGGGCGGTTGAGCTCTGGCTCTCCATCTCCTTCCAGGGTTCCGACGGTAAGATTGTAGCTTGGGACTGGCGGCGGCGGTGGCTCGTTGCAAAAACGAGATACATCTTCGGGATCCAAATAGACAACCTTATCAAGCGTGCTGGGTTCGACCTTGAAGTCCAGCAAGTCGCCGGCTCTGTTGACCTTGGCACTGAAGGTTAAGGCTGGGCTACCTGACTTGAGGGAGAACTGCCCAACGAGACCATCCGAGGCATAGTCCTTGGCATCTTCCTCTTCCCCTAGGTTGGAGGGAAGCATAGCTTGGAAGTGCCCGGGCAGGTAAATGTTTTCTGGTATCAGCTCCATAAACTTGCACAGGTCAGAGTTTGGTTTGATACACGAAGCAGGATCAGCCGCGTGGACGTGAAGCCAGAACTCGTCAGGGTTATCAGTGCGTTCCAATGAAATGCCGTCGTCAATGACCATGGTCGATACCGCGTCGATGCAGAATATTGTGGATTGCGTGTATGCTCGCCTGGACCCTGCTGCGATATCTGGCCGCTTCGAATTTTCGATATCTTTGGGAGTCTCCCGTTCAAGTCCACCACCCCTAATGATTTTGACTTCTGGGAAGCGCACTTTGTAGCGTGACGGGACCTCCCAAGGAGGGATGATACCGATCTCCTGCAGAAACGTCCAAGCGGTGCTCTGGTCGAGTACAGCGTCGTCGTAGAGCTGGAGGGCGCGGAGGATTAAGGCGCCGTAGCCATGAAACCTTGACCCAGGTTCGAAAAGATCGTAGCTCGCCCACCATTCTAGGAATGCAATGATCTCCTTGCTGGATTGGGACCATTCTGGCTGCTCCAGCTGCATGCCATCTGCAGGTGCAAGGATGCCATGTGGCGTCCATTGTCGCTTTGAGCGACTGGCCTGGACGGTCCTGCGCGCCTGGAGTATGAATAGACCCAGCGCGGTGTCTTCCAGCTCATCAGGGGTGGGCGACCTCAAGCGTTTCCCACTCGTTGCCGTGTAATCACGCACCATGGCAACGACTCTGTTGATGACATGGGCATGAGATTGAGGAAAGACTTCGAACAAATGATCTCGACGATGGCAATCGCTGGTCGGGCTGAGCGGCCTAAAGCCGACATCGTTCTGGTAAAGGGCTGAATGGACCGCATAGAGTGCAAAGGGCGGGAACTGGCCGTTTGCTTTCAGGGACGCCGGCAGCAGTATGTCGGCGATTTCGAAGAGGCTGAGGTAGCTGACTTGTCGCCGGGTTGACAAGAACGTCCGGACGGCGTCCAGCTTGCCGAGGTTGCTTTGGTGCACCGCATCTGCTTTGAGCCTAAAGTCCACCATCTTCTCGATAAGCCGAGCGCCGTCGTCTCTGGAAGGGCCCTTTTCGTTACGGCGGAGCTCCTCAAATAACTCGGGTGACCCATTCTGGGGCATCTTGGCCAAGACAGGTGCCAGTTCCTCTTGGGTCACAAATTTGGCTACTGTGAACAGCGGCGAGTACCCCATGCTGGTAAGCCATCTACCGTTGGAGGCATAGAAGTGGTTTCTCTCTCCGAAGTATCCCAAATAGATTGCGAATAGTGGCACTCTCGAGCCAGTTTGCCTGATTCAAATGTCAGTAAGCATACATGAGGGAGCAGGCATGTCGACTTCTCACTTTAATTCGACGAGATCACCGGGCTGTCTGGTGCTTCCTCCAACGGCAGCAGTCTCTGGTTCGTCTCCCCCAAGGTCCTCTTCAAACTCGTCTGTCATTCCAGTCTGGACAGGCCGCAGCTGATCCATCTCAGATGACCCCGTTGACTGAGTTCGGCTCAAGTGATTTGATACTCCTCCGTACAGGACCATGTCGGGAGGCATGCTGTCAGCGTTGGTCTGTTCTCCGTGCTGGGCAGTCCATAGCCGCAGTCGCTTGCGAATTGGCAGATACGGAGCATGTTGATTTGCTGATTCTAGTTGAGAGGCAGACGTTGGTAGATGATCTTGCCCGTATTTCGGTTGAGGCTGAGGCTCGCTGTTTGTGCTCGCCCAATGCTGCGTTTCCTGTGTAAGTTGGAGCTAAATGATCCAGACAAGGTAAAACTCACTCTTTGAAGCCCGAGAAAGGCGGTTTTGGGTTGAGAAACGGAATGAGCTCTCGTCAGCCTACCGGTAATGGCACAACAGCGGCTGCGTAAGAGACACTGCCTCTGAAAAGACTGACAAGCCAGCATGACGGGCATACGGCGTTCACATATCACGACTTCAAACGACAGTGAATTTTTCAAGCCTCCTCTGAGCTTTTCATGTAGGTGTGGCGTTGTTACTGGTGGCGCTGCTGCTGGTGGCGTTAATAGTCACGTGCCTTTTACACGGCGCCTACTACTAGTAAAATTGTGGCTCGTGTCGCTGCAGATGATATCACAAGCATCCATCTCACAAAGAGGAACTGCAGCAGGTCACGAACAGAGTATCCAATTGGATGGTAACTCAGAGATTCTTTCCAAAGTCATGCAGTAGCTGTAACCCGCTGCTAATATGTCAGTCGGAGATGAAGGTGACAAACTCATCGCCTGTGCTACCAAGTGCCGATTCGTTTCCAGCGCCTTACAGCGCCGATACAGCGTTGGTTGTCGCGCATTCCTTCCGTCGTCGCTGATTGCCTCGGCAACAGCACACAATGGCAATAATGTCAGGATCGGTCTCTTCGATGCTGCAATACTCCAAGCATCGAGTGATACTTGTCAGCACATGATCGCCTGTGCCTATTTGCGTATACGTGATTGTATCCCTCGCACATCAATACCGGAATGCAGGTCGCGTATATGTATAAACACTTTACTCTGTATACCTAGTAGACGGAGGCAATTTTAAGTATCTCCAGGAATCGAAAGTTTAAACGTCTTGCTAGGCCTGGCCGGAAGAGATCTAGACGCTTATTGTTCACGCAGATCCCCCGGTTTTAGTAGGCAGTGCATTTTATAGCGCTTCTCATTAATTCTTAGCACCAAACGCCACCTCAGACAAGGCAGGCAGGCAGGGTGCCGACGTCCCCTGCGCTTGCATCGAATGTTCGCTCTAATAATGGCAGCAGCGCCGGGGATGCAAAGGAACGACAAGGCAGGCGCCAGGGATCGGAAAGTGCGATAAGACAGAAATTGTGCTTGCGAGTCAAACCCTCGCTTAAAAGGAAAAGAAAGGAAGAAGAAGGTTTCCCACGCACAGGACAGGACACACGGGGCTTTTATCGCGGTGCAGCCAGCCGTTGCAATTGCACCTTGTATCACATCAACGCCGTCTCGGGGCTTTGCTGGTTCGATTCTACCCACAGGAATACCACTCCGTATTCTTTGGGGCTGTTTCCCTTCGTATCTGCACATTCTACTATTACTCTGCACTCCTGGACCAGCGCAGCTTCACGCCCAAAGAGTTGCAGACGAACGAATGCTACCATCACCGCACAACGACTTTCCTCATCTGGGCCTACGGGAACCAGCGGTCTGTGGCTCGTCAGACCGAAGCACAGGGACTCAGCACGGCTCTACGGCGTGCCCGGCTCTCTGACGACCCTGCGTCGCAAATTGAGGATTGCCTCTTGTCATGGGTCAACCCAAGCGACCCCCTTGAATGGCAGGGGCAGGAGTCCATTCTGCAAATACGAGAATTACCTGAATAGTAAGGCTAATAGCAAGCAGGTGGCCATGATTGGACAGCTTCGGACCGGCTTTTTTCTCGAACCAGAACTGGCGCCCCTTTCTCGAAATGAAAAGTTCGCGCAGCGCAGCGGTCAAGCTCAAGGTGCTTCGTACAAGTACGCCTACACTAATATCACGGCCATTGCTTCGAGGATTTCATGCGGACCAGGCTCAAATCGGGCCAAGACATCTCTAAACGATTCCCTTGCAAGAGCGCATGTTTGGACTCAGGCCGGGGGTGGCAGGGAAAATGCCCTTGAGCAGTGCGGAGAATCTAAGCTTAAAATGGCACAAATGCAACCCACCGCTGAAATTGAGTCGGAGGTCCAGGCGTTCACAGCAGCGAGACCGCTGCAATACCCCATACTTCCTATGTGGACGTGGGCGATGCAGACTTGCACGGGTAGCTCCATCATCATCTTCAGCGCGCCGAGCTCCAAGAAAATGCCGCTTCGCCGGAAGAGACAGCCATCGGCCATGGACTGCGGCTAACGCCATTACCAACATCAGAAACGCCCGACAAGCCGGACACTACGCTTAGGCTGGGGACGGCGCACAAACTGGGCTTAGCAAGATGTGAGGCGCTGTGTGTGCCTGGCCCGCTCATGCGCCAAGCGGAGTAGGCAGACGCAGGAACAATCTCGCAGCCTCTCAAGCTAGCAGTAGTGTCGAGCCAACCCACGTCCGAGATTGGCCAGAGGATCGTCCCTCGGCGTTGATTTGCCAGAGCTTCCGGCCTCCTGTGCATCCAACAGGGAAGGGAGCTGCGCCAGCCAAACATCTCAGATGACAGGCCGATGCTCATCTCCTAGCATGGAGGTGATCAACCACTCATCACCGGAACCCCGAGCATGCAGAGCGATGGACCCCGAGTGCAATACGAAGCGATGTCTAGGTGTTCTGCGTCTGGTATTACTGCAAAGACACCACCGCTGTTGCATTCGCTGATGACGAGCGGCTCCCTGGCCCAGCTCTGCAAAGCGCAGAAGCCTCAATGTCGCAGCTCTCTTCATTGTTCGCAGCTCAGCTCCTAACTTCTCGGGTAGCAATGGGCAAAGTCCATGATCTGTTTCAGCTAGCCGCGCCGAGTGCTCGCTGCCCCTTTCAAGGAGAAATGCTGGCACGAAATAGTAATTGCTTGGCCAAGATCCACACTCCCCTATTTTGGCGTTGAGAAGCCGCCTTGGCCCAGCAGCTGCTTGTGTTGGAAGCGACCAGCGATGGACGCAGAGGTAGCCACAGTGGCTCGTCTTCCTTCCACCCCCCTCTCTGTCGGACCCCCTGTCATTCCTCTCCCAGCTGGGCCGGTACCTCGTCTGCAGCAAAGGATTCCACAGCCGACCAGGTACTGCACGTTCCGGCCGACTTGTTGGTGAGCACACCTCCCATGCTACCTGGCCAAGTCTAATAACAACAACGAGCCATGTTACCCGCCTGCACGCGCACCGCCCGTACTCATAATAATGGCGCTCTGCCCACCTGGCCTTGACGTCTTTGTTTCTTCTTTTCCTCACTCCCCACGGATCGTCAAAGCGAGGTCTCGAAGGAAGCTGCTCTTTCCTGCTGTTCTCCAGTAAACCAACTTACCGCTTCACTCTTTTAGCGGGCATTCTTTTTTGTACTTGATATTTTCCACGATGAAGGGAACGTTCGCCGCCGCTGCCGTGGCTGCCCTGACCGGCGCCGCCAGCGCCTCTCACGCCCACCGCCACGCCCACGAGCTCTTCGCCGCAAAGAGATTCCAGACTGGCGAGGTCTGTGTTCCGGGATGCACCACTGTCTGGTCGACCATTACTGGCGAGCCTACTTGTACGTTGACGATTCCACGGAGTCCTCGGGGGGAAAGGGGGGAGATGGGGGATGCTGCTCACCTCCCTCCCCTTACCCGGTGTAAGTGACCTTGTGCTAACCAGACATGAAGTGATTCCCGCCAAGGTCCCTGTGACCTCTGCGGCTCCCGTTGAGACCACGACCGCCGCTGCGCCGGTCACCACCACCGAGGCCCCGGCTCCTCCTCCTACTTCTGAGGTCGTCGTCGTCCCTGTGCCGACTCCTGCGCCGGTCACCTTCCCTACGCCCGGAACCTACACGATCCCGGCCACGACCATCACCCTGACCGACACCACCACCGTCTGCGGTGCCAGCTCTACCCAGGTTCCTCCCGGAACCCACACCGTCGGCGGTGTCACCACTGTCGTTGAGACGGCCACCACCGTTGTCTGCCCCGTGGCCAGCATCTCAACCAGCGGCACCGTGGTTACCAGCGTCATTGTCCAGACCACCTACGTCTGCCCTGCCGCCGGTACCTACACCATTGCTCCCATCACCACCGTGGTTCCCTCGTCCACGCTCCTGGTCTACCCCGTCCCGACCAGCTACGAGCCCGGCACCTACACTGCTCCCGAGCAGGTCGTCACCGTCACCGAGACCGACTACGTCACCTACTGCCCCTTTGCCAGCTCTGGCCTCCCCACGACGACTGCCGCTCCCGCCGCTGTGACCACCAGCCCGGCCTACAACCCTCCCTCTCCTCCTCCGGCTGAGACTACCCAGTCGGCTGCTCCCTCCGTCCAGGCTGTTTCCAGCGCTCCCGCCTACGCTCCTCCTCCTGTTGCTACCTCTGCTGCTCCCAAGCCCAAGCCCACCCAGGCTGCCCCCAAGCCCAAGCCCCAGCCTCACGCTCCTAGCGGTGGTCTGAGCGGCAGCAACGACCACTACGGTATCACCTACACTCCCTATGAGGCTTCCAGCGGCAACTGCAAGTCCGCCTCCGAGGTCGACTCCGACATTGCCAAGCTCAAGGCTGCTGGTTTCCAGGTCCTCCGTGTCTACTCGACTGACTGCGACACCCTCGAGAATGTTGGTACCGCCGCCAAGAAGTACGGCATTGACATGATCCTTGGAGTCTTCGTCAAGGGTGACGGCTGCAGCTACGACACTCCCGACATCAAGAGCCAGGTTGACGCCATCTCTTCCTGGGCTCAGTGGGATATGGTCAAGCTCATTGTGGTTGGTAACGAGGCTATTATGAACGGCTTCTGCTCTGCTTCTCAGCTCGCCAGCCTTGTCTCCACCGTCAAGGAGAAGTGCAGCGGCTACACTGGTGGTTACACCATCTCCGAGACGCTCAACATCTGGCAGCGCTCCGACGTCTCCTCCGCCATCTGCGGCGTCGTCGACGTCACCGGTGCCAACATCCACCCCTTCTTCAACTCTGCCACCACTCCCGAGAAGGCGGGTGACTTCGTCTCTGGACAGCTCGAGCTCCTTGGCAAGATTTGCCCTGGCAACGACGTCATCAACCTGGAGTGCGGCTGGCCCAAGCAGGGTACATGCAACGGCGCCGCCTGCCCCGGCAACCCCGAGCAGGCTACCGCCATCAAGTCCATCCGTGAGAGCTGCGGTAGCAAGACCGTCTTCTTCTCTTACGATGACGACCTGTGGAAGCAGCCTGGCAGCTTCGGCTGCGAGCAGAGCTGGGGTGCCGCCGCGGCTTTCGCCATCTCTGCTTAAGTGGTGTTTGGGGATTAAGCAATGCAACGCGTGATGGGTTTTACTGCAGCTGAACGTCATTTACTAAATGTATCCGAATGTCAAGCTCGCTCGGTTCTGTCCGTCAGCCCCCCTTGTGTATTTTCGCCACCAGTACGGGACCACGAAGATATCCTGATGCCGATTTGGAAGTTCAGGCGGTCATGACAGCGTCGGGGGCCGCTCCTCGACAAGAGATGGGACTTGGTTGGCTGCAAATTTCCCTATGTCTTTGCGTGGTGTTGTGTGATAGCGGGTCTCATGGCTTGTGTTTTGGCAACTACACGGTGTTTCTGTATATGAAGTCGCCATGGGTCCGGGTGTACATTTAGCATCTGATTCTAATGCTGTAATTAATTAATATTCGATGAGCTTGTTTACATGTGATTTTAAACCGAGGTGACCGGTTAGACAATCCCTTTCGTACCGTTAGTATCAACTGCACACCAACACTTGCATGTTGATAAACCTCTCATGAAACTTGTGTCTCTGTCATTCTATCTTGAGTAGGTATATCATACAAGCTACCGAAGAAACCACAAGCCTGTGACTAACGATATATGACGATTGCACGTCGAATGGCTTATAGAAGTCATCAGGATGATATATGCACTTTCTGGTGACCACATGTCCCAAGTGCAATAGGCGCTCTCACATCGACCTCTACCCTAAAACCTCTTCAAGTGCGGATACTGTAGCACCTTGTCCTCCATTCTCTTTCTCTCTGTACATTCAGATGATATTCATAAGAAAGCCTCTGTCACGCAATTTTGATAAATCAATGGAATCTAGTCCCAGACCTCATCACGATTATCCTTAGCTTTTGACTTTGTGCAGCAAATAAAACAAGTTAACATCCGCGTAGTTTTAGAGAAAAGGGCTGTTGAAGCACACATAGAAGAAAAGAACTTTCGAGATCTCAATCTTCTACACGAGCCCTGCGTATCTTGTCTAACCCTATCCTCTGACAATACGACTTTTTTTCACATTCTACTCATCATGCCAAATCTCAATACGTATGTGGATTGTTACAATGGGTTGACCACTTGCCTACGTAAGGCAGTTGGAACGAGTGTGATACGGAAAAAACCTCTCGCGTAGTTTTAAGACACATATCTACTCTCGTCTTTTCTCTTTCCTCGCCCTCTTTGAATCGAAATGCCTTGTAGCGAACAACATTGTTCTTAACTTTGCAGAATATATGTCTTCAAAGCCGAATTTACAGATGCCAATTAGGCCGATTTCAGATATAACGTGCTACACAACACAGTATAGTCGAACTAAAAAAAGGCAGTGCATACATACATATCCCCGTCGTGTATTGTCGGATATACCTTACCTACATAGAAACCTTTCGATATCTTCCAATTCCCTTAACCTTTGGATATCTCTTGATCTCCAGTGTCCCTGACCTTTTGTGAAACCCCCCCCCCCCCCCCCAACCATCTTACCTATGTAAGGCACACATGAATACATCTCCTTTCTTCCCAAAAAAGGGAATTCATAGAAGAGCTCAAACTCCAAGATCAAAAGCGGCCTTTCTTCCTTTTCCCTCAAGTCGTCCATAGGAGCAAACTTGGAAGAAAAAGTGTGAGAAACGAGGAGCCACAATCATGCAAAACGCATACGAAGAGAAGATTGAGTTAACAATCGAAGAAGAAGGGATACGATGACAATGAAGAAGAAGAAGAAGAAGAAGAAGAAGAAGAAGATAGAAGAAAGATGGCTCGCTTACAGCCCCCCTTTACATGCGTATGTCCCTCGTGTACTTGACTCCCAAAACATGCATCCCTAATGCCACAGAAGATAAATCCACGAAAGTAAAGAAAATCGATGAATGAGAAGAAAGAAAAAATAGTAAGAATGTTTTCGAGCCAGACCTAACAAGGCTACACACTTTTTTCTTTTTGATAAGTTTCGCTTTTCCCTTTCCTTTTTTTCCCCCCCTTCTTCCTCTTTTTTTGAGAGGTTCCTTTTTTAGAGGGTTTTGCAGATAAGCATAGCCCTCATCTCTAACCATTTGTTAACATATGGAAGCGGGAATCATCATGCGAAAGAAAATCCAACATAAAAGGAAGAACACATCCTTATGAGTCCTTATACCCCCAGTTGGCAAAGGAGAATGAAAAAAAAAAAAGAAGAAGAATGGAGGAAACGACGAGACCAATATGTTCCACAAACATAACTACTGAACGGCATCTGCCAAGTAGCAAACCCGCAAGACACAGTCCCCAAGAAAACAAGAATGAGGCCGCAATGATCATGCCGACAAGAAGAACAGCGGGTAGAAAGTCAAGTCATCACTGGCGTAGAGGGAATAATAAACGAAACAAGTATGTACAAGCCAAAAAGGGACAGCTTGGATGAGAATGTAAGGCGGCAGAGGACAAGGGAAAAGGGGGAAATATGCATAGAGAATCGTAACGTCATAACCGGTTGGTCCGCCACATCCGGCTTTAGAATACACCTGGGCCATCCATGTACATTGGCGGCCGGCGCCGTTTCACAAAGTCCCACTGGTTGGATGACCCTCGGTCTCCGTTCAGGAAGCGCTGGCGGCCTCCCGAGAGAGGCTCGTCGACTCCAAAGCTGCACCGCTCAAACTGCAGCAGGCCGCCGCGGTGGGCGTCGCAGCAGAGGACGTTGAGGTCCTGCCCGTCATTGGTAAAGGCCACGCCTCCAATCTCGCCAAACACGTCAATGGTCTGCTTGGTGGCAAACGTCTGGGCGTCAATCAGGTTGATGAAGTCGGCCTCTTCGGCCGCGGCAAGGACAGGCCTGCCGCTGCCGGACGGGGAGAAGCGCAGATTTCGGACACCGGCCATCTCGGTCGATATCGTGGCGATTGGCGTGCTGACCCCGTTGGCGTTGCGCCAGTAGCGGGCGTCCCAGATCTTGACCGTCCTGTCCTGGAACCCAGTGGCAACAGTGTGGCCGTTGTCTGACCAGTCGCAAGCGAATCCGTAGTCGCGGTGTCCGCCCAGCTGCTGCAGGATTTCTCCCGTCTCTGCGTTGGTGATGAGTACGTTCAGGTCATCGCCCACAACGACCCTCAGCCGACCATCCGGTGACATGGCTGAGCAGTTCAAGGCAAACGGATACGTGAACTTGGCGGTAAACTTTTCCGTCTGCAGGTCTAACAGGCGGAATCCCTGGTCGTTGCTTGCGATGGCGGCAACAGGACTTCCCGACCTCCTGGGCTTGTATATCTTGATGTGGTTGGTTATCCCACTGATGTCGTTTGATATCTGTCCCTCGGAATAGGCCTTCTTGTCCTGGGTGCCCAGCGACTGCAGGAAATAATCCCCATTAAAGGTGCCGGCCATCAAGACGCCGCAGCCGGCATCGAGGGTGGAAACTGCAGGGGCCGTCATGCCGGCAAACGCACGGAGATTCATGGCCAGGCTTGTCTTTCTGGTCGAGCTGTTCATCACGTTGATGCCTTGGCTGCTGGGGTAGTACGCATGCGTCCGAGTGGGACATGCCAGCACGCTCCGAAGCTGGAAATGGGCCAGGCTGATGTCTCGCCGTACGTCCATTCTCCTGAACCTGAAGAAGTTGTCGGTAGAAGGGAGCTGTGCCTCTGCCGAATACTGTACAAATCCTTGTGTTAAAGAGGAAAGAGAGAGGAGAAAAGGGTGGAATAGGAGACGCTGGATTTACGGATATTGGATAAGGAAACATGACTGCGTCTGTGTGTGGGTGCAAGGCAGAAGTAAAAGAGAGAACTTACATGAATATCAGAGCCCGTTCTGTTGACGTAGTTCTTATATGTGAGTCGACGGATCCGCCTGGCGGCATGGCGGGTCGTGTTCATGCTGTCCCAATCCAGCCCTTGCATGTCACAGCCGTCTCCGCGCAGGTCATGGTAGTACACCCGTTCTACTCCGCTGGTGGCCTGCTTCAAGACTCTGTGGAGGCCCGGGGCAGACAGCTTTTTGCCGCGAACGCTGCGAATCCCAACGTGGCCGTATGCCCAAACGCGCAAGAAGTCGATGAGGCCGTAGTTCTCGGACCCCAGGATGCTGGGGTTTGGGTTGCTCATGTGGACAGGCGGGAAAGGATCGAGCAGCAGCGCTTGTTCTTCCTCGTCGAGGGATAACTCGTCATCCGACAGTCCTTGTCCCGGCAGCTGATTTGTGACTTGGTTGATCAGAGCTTGTGTGAGGGCGGGCGCTATCGGCTGCTGACCTGTCCCTTGCAGGTATTGCATAAGGGACGGTATCGGAACGTTCGAGGCGGCGGGCATCTGGTGTGGTGGTGCATGGTCATCGTCTTGGTCCATCAACGCAGCCTCGTCCTCGTCGTCCAAGTCTTCCTCGTCATCGTCTTCTCTCTCCATATCGTCTTCGTCGTCAATCGCGTTGGCGTGATAAAAGTACAGGCTGGGGGCCATTGCGCCGCTGACCATGGGGTTGCTGTGGACGGCTCCATTGTGGCTGTTCAGAGGCGCACCCCCGTCCTCATCGCTCATTTCTTGGTCGTGATCTGCCTGCGCCGTGGGATACTGGTGGCTCTGGGCGTAAGACTGTCCGTAGGCATGTCCGTAGTACACGGTTGTGTAGGGGAAGTTGGGATTCGCCTGATACACCGAGATGCCGTTGCCGTTGCCGTGGCCACTGGCAGCGCCGTCAGCGGGGGCAGCGTCTGGTGCGGGCGTCATGACCTCCTCTGCGTCGTATCTTTCGCCTTGGTCGTGCTCGTGGTGATGGTCGTGCTGGTCGTTGTATGTGCTGCTGCTATTGCTGCTCCCGGGGCCATAGAGGGTCGCATACTGCACCTGAAACTGGCCCCTGTTGTCCTCGTGCTTGGGCTGCTCGTAGTGGATGTGGCAGCTGTGATAGTGTAGGCAGTAGACGCAGTGTTCGGGAGGGGGAATATCGGTCTCGTCGAAGTCGTCAAAGTCGTCGTCCTGCGGCAGAGGGAGGGATCCGAATCGCATGACTGTCAGCGGCGACAAGGCTCGGGAGCCAGGTATTACGGGATAGCGGCAGCGCACGCGCGCAGCCGGGCTGCGTTCCGACTTGTGCCTTGTCCGGCTTCGTTTTCTGCTGCCGGTTGCTGGGCCCTGGCCGCTATTCCCCTGGTGGAAAGGAATACGCAAGCAGGGGTGGCTGTCGCAGCGTTCTCTATTTTTGCCTGCCTTTGGAACTGGCGCAATGTTCCAAGCCGTCGGAGGCACGAGTAACCCAGCAGCTGTGTGCTACTCTATTCCAGCCTTGTCGAAAAGCCGCTGCCCTTGCTGTTGCGACGACACCTTGTCCTGGTCCTCCTATATGTCTTTCTGATGTCTCGCGCTGGCCGAGCCTGGAATCCAAAGATGTCGATTGGGCGCCGGTATACCGCCGTTTCCTGCTCTCGTCCTCAGCCGGACGTATCCCAGCTGTCCTTGCTTGACTCGCCCACGCACTAGTAGCCTCTCGGAAGCTGGGGGTTAGCTGCTTGCTGCAAGCCTCCACCGACGCCGCAGTCGCAGCCTCGGTATACAAGCGTCCGTCTGGCACGCGCGCGCGTAGGATCGAATGATGTGGTAGACACGGCACCCGAGGTCAAGGACAGGCACCTGGAAGGAAGGATGCGAAGGCGATGATGCCGCTGTTCAGCTCTCTCAGCACTGCGCCTGGGGTTCCGTCAGGTCGGCGGTGGCGATGCTGGCGACGATGCTGGGTTCGGGGTCGGCAGCAGACGGCAATGGGCCTGGAAGGGTTGGCTTGTGCTTGGCAAAGGCACGGGGCGCGGGCACTCTCGTGATGGTGATTGGAGAAGGCTGTCGGAGCTGATGCCGATGATGGTGAAGAGCAGCCTAATGATGAAGCGGGCGAGTACTCGTATAGGTCAGGCAGTGTCGAGAGTGAGTCGGCCTCGTTATCGATAGGTAAGGTACGGTCGCCCTGCGAATGTAGGTGGATGTTGGGCAGAGGTTGCAGTTGGGAGAGTTGGGTTGTGGCGGCGGCATGCAAGAGGCGTCTGAGTCGCAGAGAGGCTCAACCGGCTGGCGCAAGGTTGTGGACAGGGCCGCAACTTTAATACTACCGTCTGCCGCATGTACGGAGCACGGAGCAGATGCTACCAAATCAGAAGAGAGAAAGGTCGGGTGTGTGCTCAGCAACAAGAGCAGCAACTGAGTCGTCTGCTGCGAGTCAAGTCTCCCCTCCCCTCCTCCGAGCCCTTTCCTCTCTGTCACCTTTGGCTCAACGGTCACTTTTTCCTCACAGTTTTCCCCTCCGACTGCAGTTTCTGTTGAGAGAGAGAAGAGACAACAAGGAGAGAAAAGAGGTCGAGCTACGTAGGGCTGACGCCGATGGCTGGCAGAGAAGGATGCTGTTCGCCAGCGGCGGTCGAGGGGCACACGAATCAATAGGTAGAAGAGAAAGGGCGCCTGTGGGTTGACGGCTTTTAGCGCCGGTTGCGGCCTGGCCGTCTGTGTCGTGGCGAGGATTTTTTGATTTGCAGGAGAAAAGAAGATGCATCAGACAAGAATCAGACACATCATATGTGGTGCCAGAATGGGCGCCAAAACCGGTCTGGGGCTCGACGTGATGGTCGTGCACGTTACCTCGACCTGTTGATACTGACTGGGTACTACGAGTATAGTCTAGGTAGGTAATACTCGTACATGTATGTATGTATGTACGGACATGTCCGGCAACGTTGATGCACCTGCAGTGCTTCTGGGGACGATCCCGTTCATTGTCTGCGCGAGAGACGCACGCCATACGAGTTCTGATACCCATTGAACAACCCTGGACACGCTCACAGCCAGGCCGGGGTCAACCTGTACGAGTTGCTTCATACCGTATGTATGTGTTGCACGACGGCCCTCGTCGTGATTCCTCGGCGCTGCTGGCCAATCCATGGATGATTCGATGCCCTCAAAGGGCTGCACGTGCGAACCCGGCGCCTAGACGGACCTCTGCTGGATGCCGTCGCACACGCACAGCAGCCGGACGACGCCCGCGGCACTGGCCAGCAGCGACAAAGGTGGCGCCCTGGGAGCTGCAGCTGCGCAGGTTTGGTGGTGGTTTGGGCCATGGCTGAGCGAAGCTGGCGGATTCAGTGGCGCAAACAGCGCCGGATGTCGCTCCAGGCCGTAATACCAGCATCTACTCAACGGGCTACATGTGCGGTGATGATCTAAATCACGTTTCGTCGCCATCTGCAGGTGGTGTCTTGGTTGGTGTTGATCCCGTCAATCCAGCCTGTCCAGGCACGGCACGAGAATGGCCTCTTTTGGCTCTCTCAACTGCAAGTGTGCGGACTTGCTGCTACATACCCACTCGTCGACCCCCCTGTATATCCGCTGGCTTGCCGCATATTTCAAGGTTGTTCGTGTCAGGGTTGATGGGTTAGGTACAAGCACAGGGCATCGTGCATGTGCTATCGTCGGCCGGATGGCGCTTCCTTGCCCCCCGGGCCTCGGTGCCAAAAAAGCCGACTTTTGAAATCCGACGACGAGAAAGAAGCAGGACGTGGAGCATCACAACGAACACGCCGTATCACCTGCAGAGGAGGCATCTCGTCCGAGCAGCAGTATCTCGAGTACCTGAAGATGGAGAAAAAGCCAAGAGTGATGTGAAAGGTCCCTCGATTTACCTGTGGCGGGTTCCTGGTGCAGTGCCAAAATCTCATCGCCCACTTCTCTCTTCGACCCAAGGCACAGCAATTCTCATCTCTCACATTTCCAAAAATCACTCGTCTTCTTTCCCCCGTTCCCATCTTTTCCTCTTCCATCTTTTCTATCACAAATGGAAAAAAAATGAAGGAAAAAAAAAATCTGCTTGTGATACAGCACAATCACGACACGGCACGACAACTCGAACCGCTGTGGACGAAATTGCCGCATGTATCAAGTACAAAAGTGCCAAATTCACCTTCCATCTTTTGCCAGGATCATCTTTGATAAACATGCTCTCTACGTCTGCCCTCTCCATTGCATTCATTGGCGACGTTCGTTTTCTCCTCTTGGGCCCATTAATGCAAACAATCGACGAGCAAGCAAGTCTCTTGTGAGAAAAAACGAGCGAAACAACAAGTCCAAAAGCCAGGCTCAAAGAAATAAAGACGAGGCACCGCTACATGTAATTATCTGCTTGCAAGGCATGGCTCATGCAGAAGAATCCCTGACAAGCTTCAATCCTTCTTTACTCTTGTCCTCGTCCTGGGTGCCATGCTCGTCACCGCCGAGGCACACCAGCGGGAATAGCAGTACCATCCAGCATTGCGGGAATACTATACTTGCCCGTATGTGTGACAGCCACGCGCGCCCTCACACAGACGCGCTCTCTGTCTGCGATGTTCCTTGTCAGGGTCTGGTATGATGAGGGCCTTGTCTGCCAGCCAGAGTCCTGCATCTGTTGTAGGCGCCCTGCCACGTCCCTCGTCCCGATGGGAATGGATCATCATCAAACCGCTTCTCAGCCTCGGCCTGGCCTAACAGTAGGTAGGTACGTGTATGCTTGCCTGCCTCAAGCTTCCAGCCTCTTGTCTCTTGTCTCTGTCTCCAATCCTCTTGTCTCCTCGTGTCATCTCGTCATCTCGTCATCCCGTCTGGCACGTGTTTGTATGTATGCAATGTACAGTACTACTAGTACCAGCAGTATCATCGCCTCTTCCTTCGGCCTCTTCCCCAAAACAGGAGCAGCGCGTCACTCGTCTCTCTCCTTGCCCTTCTCCTTCAATCTTTCTCCCCAAAAGACGCCATCGTCCCTCATGTGTTGGGCTTCACTGCATCTTTACCCTTCCCCCTCTCTGCCCCCCTCCCTCCCCTCCATCCCATCCTCATCATTCCCCCATCCTCCCCATGCCCGTGATATCACTAGCACATCCCAAAATGTCTGCCTCACTTTTTGGCATCGAACCGGCCAGTCCAGCTGAGAGGGTCCGGTAACATGCTGGGACCACAAGGGGGTGGCCACCTTGCAGCCCTGCCCGCATGCAGGATCCATATTTTCCTTCACCGGTCGCGCCTTGTAGTTTGTGATAGATGACCTATTGCCTCTGCCCGTTTTTGGCCCCCTCAAAGAAGAAAAAAGGCCCCTCTGTTCTGCCAGCCCGTCCCCGTCACCAACATGCCATGCCGTCTCTCTCTCTCTCTGTTCTGGGAGTTGTTGCCCCTCCCAGCCCGCGTCTCGTGGCGGAGGAGACAGAAAGAGAGAGTGTGTGTGACATCGAGGGCCATTGGCTTTTGTCCGCTTGGCTGATAGGATAGGTACGAGACAGCCGCCGAGGCTTGGGCCGCCACCAGTGTATGGTTGTACATACAGTCGCAAGTGATGCTCAGATTGCAGATAGCCAAGGGCTACAATCGCGATGCGAACCAGACCGGACAGCTCCCTACATAATAACCTGGTTATTGCAAGAAGCGCTATAGGCACATCCAGACCGCCATGTAATACGTGGCTGTTCATGCTGGCAATAGTCGCACATCAGTCCATTGCGGCAACACTCGGTGAACGACAAACGAGCAAAACAAAAAACAAGCTTCTTTTCGCCTCGACCAGCAACAAGCCCATCGGATTCCTCACAGGAATTAATTACAGAACACAAGGAACGATGACATGGGGGCTGCGGCTTCTGTGCTAAGCAGTGTATGTATGTACCTGGTCAATGGGCCGAGGCTAAGGTACTCCCCAACATCAGCACATTCAGGTCATGATATGTAGTACTCCTACTCGTCAGATCGCCAACCACCAGGCCGAGATTCCACACATTGCTTCTTCTGAACGCGGCCGCTGGGCCTCCGTCAGTCGACTTGTCATTCAGACATGTTCGCAAGCCCGGCGAGAATAGGCAAGACCATCGTCGGATCACGTCTGTGCTCTACAGTACAGTAACCTGAACCCTCTCCTTGTAGGTCAGGTATGTACCGATGATGGCTGGATGCCCTCGGTCCCTACTATACCTACCTTACCTACCCGACCTACATACATACATACATGTCCGTCTATACATGCAGTGCCCCCCCAGTCCCGGCTGTTTCTTTGCATCTACAGGCTTGTCCAGTGGCATGCTCATGGAAAGCAAGTGTGTCAGAAACCCCCCAACTTTCGAATCCCAGCATCCGGTCTGGACAGTCCGTGCATTGCATGCAAACCTTGAGGTTTTTCTCTCCCTTCTGTCAGTGACAAGGCGAGTAAGGTATGTATAAGCAAGACGACGCAACGCCGCATGAGGGCATCGAGCCTCGCCCATGTCATCACATCCCACGCCCACGCCCACGCCCACGCTCTGGCCTTCCCCCATTGGGACATTTCCGATGTACCAAGTTGACCAAAGAAGAACACGCAAAAAGACGTGACCATCACATCCCAACGCCAAAAAGGGAGAAAAAAAAAAAGGAAAAGGAAACGACAACTCACTTGCCTATGAGGATGATCTCGGGCATACCGCCAAAAGAAAGAAGAAAACCAAAAGAAGAAGATGCCAAAAAGGATTCAACCCACGGTTAAAGTCAAGACGGAAACAGAGCCCTCCTCGGCCTTACTTTGCCCGCCGTGAATCCCCTACCCAGCTCTACAACTACTTCGTCAAAATAGAAAAGAGTCCGAACCAACAAGCGAAGAAAAAGATCGTCCTTATCACCAAGAAAAGGCTGTATTCCATCTCTATATTTCTCCGCGGATAATACATATGACGAACCCCCTCCCCATCTTCCCGAACAGCTAGTCATGCTGCCTCCATTCCTATTCCAGTTTGTTGAAGAAGGCAATGTGTAGTATAATCTAGATAGGTTACTCCCCCCTTCACCCAAACACCCAAAAATCGCAGCCGATTCCCCGGTTTCAACCCCAATCCTTTACAGAGATTACACACTGCAGAACATCGCTCCAAGCGCACACACACACACACGCACACACACACACACACACACACACACACACACGCACACACACGCACACAC